CTGAAATACCCTATTACACCCCTATTCCTCTTTCTTTATGGCTTTTTGTACCAGATTACAAGAAACCTGCAATTGGCTGGAGGCTCTTCTGAAGGCCACCCCATGCCTCGATGCTACCTTGACCTTTGACCGTGACCTCTACCAGCGGAGGACATACCAACCACCATAGAGTTCATTGTCTTTACCAGATTTTTAGCTTTTGGAAGCTCCTCTTGCTCTCCTCATCCACATGAAAGACCACCATGAGGGCTTTGTCAACCTTTTTTACATTTTGTATCCACCGAAACAAACTTGCACTATACCTGCTTGTCTCATGACCTATCCGTTTCATTGTCACCTGTAAAACGCAATTTTGTTTCCTTTCTGTTCCATCTCCATTCTGGGTAGGGCGTTTCTAGTGGATCATGGTGTGTTAAATTGAAGTCTGCATGTGGAGGATTTGGTATCCCCCCATGTATGTTTGAGAGTTTTTCTCTCCTTCGACTGTGTCATTATCAAGTTTTCTTAGCAACTCTGGTAATGGTCATAAATTTTGAGAGCTTTCGCTACTTATGCTGAGGTATTTATGAAATTCATATGGTCAGGCTTTAGGTATGTTTTTGTGTTGTACTATATCTTGAATTTACTGTTGCTACAGTTGTTTACAATAAATATTGCTATTTTTGTCTTTAATGTAAATTTATTTTTTTGTAACATTTCCAGGGAAATGTAAAATTTGACTCTATGGAATATTGTTTTGTCTTACCTATAATGAAAGTATAAACCCTATAGTGTCTATGTGTATTGTATATTTTGGTACTTGTAGAATTCCTGTGCGTACGCACAATTTATTGTATTCAGTGTGTTATGTTATCTGTTGTAGAAGGATGCTATATGATTGTTTTGAGTAATTATGTGGGATCATGCATCAACGTAACTTGCTGTGCAGTGCTAATTCTATTCCTCTTGCTTTGCTAACTCAATATTTCAATAAAATAGCATCGTTAACCACTCAAATAATTACTAAAACTATCGTAGTGATTGATGACTTGCCTCAACCATATATTTAATTTATAACATGTTTACTTCCATTAGCTGGGCCTGCCGTCCAAAATAGTTTAAAAATTCAATCACGAGCCATTATAAAAACAAGTCCAAATATCTTGCAATCAGCTTTGCCTTTTGAGCTTCTGAAGACCAAAACATTAGACGACAATATTCTTGTGTGCCCATCCCCGAACAGATTGCCCTGTCGCGGCACAACAACGGTGTGAACAGGAGCAACGGGAGAATAACGCACCTTCCGAGCTCTCGTTGAAGGCGTGGCAGCCAGGATTGTTGTGGATAATCCAAGGTTTAACTTCTCACTCGCACGAGCAACAACCACTTCCCGTGCGATGGTTCTCAACGCGTAGCCCCACTTCCCAACATTGACCGCTCCGGCCCGGCGGCTGGGCTGGACTGACTGGACGAGCCAGGCCGGGCGAACGCTCTCTCTCGCACACCGACTATCCGTCCCTCTCGCACTGCCCAGCGTGCTGCCCAGAGAGAACTGGCGTCAGCTGACCGCTACTGAAATACTACTCGTCAGCTGACCGGACCGGGCCGATATCGACGTTACCATTTTAGACAGTCCCAAAGACAGTCTCTACCACAAGGCAAATTTACCCCTCCTCCCCCCCACCTCCTCCCCGTCAGTGGCGTGGTAGTTACGTCAGCGCCGCGTGTCAAGTGTCAATCAGAGATCGCAGGTTCGAATACTGTGATACAGGACTGAAACTGGAAAAGTCCGTCAAAAAACAGCTTTTTTGAGTTTAAAATCAAAATGCGAATTAAATCAAGAAAAAGCTCTCTATTTCATTCTAAGTTACTTTATTGCGATTCTTTTAAGGTATAATAAGTCTATAATTAAACGTAACTGTGGTCGCGACACGTTTTTCATCTTCAAAAAACGTGTCGAGCCCACAGTTACGTTTAATTATTATAGACTTATTATACTCGTCGTCAAAGTATTCGTTTTTGGGTTTGAATTTTCTCGTACTGTATCAGAAGCTCTACTAGTCAGCAACCCGCGGTGTGGGGTCGGCGACTCCTGGGTCGGAGGTTCAAGCCTTGCTGCCGGCTCTCCATTTTCTTGAGCGACTAAAAAAGAGGAAGAAATTGCGTGACCCCCAGCTACCGGCGGGACTCGAACCCCAGTGAGTTGGATGGAATCTAGTAGCATTCGAACCGGGCGACCAAGAAAAAAAAAAGCGCCGGCGGCAAGGCTTGAACCCCCGACCCTGCAGTCCCGGACCCGACACCTTGACGAACTCGGCTAAGAGGCCGCACTCATCGCACACCGACTAGAACACAGCCTTGTGATAACGCTGCGTGGGAAAGAAAGAGACGGAGAAAAAAGGCGGGCCGGCCGGATCCCAGGTGGGACTCGAACCCCAGCGCGAGTTGCCGACTAGTCGAGCTTCTCGTACAGTGCGAGAAAATTCAAACCCAAAAACGAATACTTTGACGACGAGTATTGGAACCCCCGATTCACAGTTCAAACATTGCAGCGATATCAAAGAGCCACGAGGTTGGTCTCGAAGCCACAGGTGAGAGGGTGTCGTGATGGAACCGGTTCTTCCCCCGCTCAAGCTACTGCGCTGACTCGTGCCTTCAGCCTAGCTCGCCCGGCCATGCACACTGTGGCGTCGTAGCCGCGCCGGTAGAGAGTCGACCGCGTGCGCCACATCAGGGGTTCGTATCTCCAATTCCAGTTACATTTTTCTGAACCGGTCGA